TATTTATGATTCCATAATTCGGTTTGCTTTTATTAAGTTGATGACATATTCAAACACAATATATTTCGGTTATAAATTACTTGTCTTTCCAGTTTCAATTACGTCGCCGCTCATAATAAAATAAACTACAGCACAAAGTTCTCATTAATATTATATTATGTGTGTTGTTTATGTATTTTCATATTTTTGTGTCCAGCCAACTGATTAACTGTAAAATGATTTTCGTTCATCTATTTTTAAATTTAATTTGTAAAAATATTCATATTTATTGTTGTGTACGGAAATCAATGAGCAATGCGTGTAATTTATGAACGAAACGTAACCATATACAATGATGATGGAAAAGTAATAAGCATATCCGACGATGGACATTTAAACGCGACCGAAACGGCGTAGTCATTTGGACTTAAAAAAAAAAAAAAATGTTATTATATTTTTATTTATACTATATTGTATAATAATGTGTCGTTTAATAAAAATGTTATATAACAATAAAATATTAAAACTAATAAAATCATAAATATAAAATAAACCTGCAATGAATAGAGATATTTTGATAAATTCCACATAAAAACAACTTTAGAGTTATAATTGTACAGTTAAGAATCTTTCTGAAAATTCATTTCTTTATATCGATAAATATTATATTATAAATATATAATTATTTCGAAGAACTTTTACCTGCCTTGAACAGACTGAATACATTTCGTTCAAGTTGTACTATTTGCAGACAGTTAATAAAATAATATAATGAGTTGTTGAATTTCCATATCAGTGTTAAATCTTCTATATGCTTCTTTAGTATGATTAATTGATCTATCTTTGTCATCAAAAATTCGCTTACATAAATTCCTGAAATTATATGAAAATATTGAAGCATGAAATAATTATTTTAATATTATTTTCCTCAAATCAGTCAAACAAAGGATGTAAAAAAGATGTACGTATTTCGACAAACATTCACCTAGTTTTCTATTACAGTACCAAAATCTTCGACAGGAGCAAACTAAAGGGTTACAATAATTTTAATCCATCAGAAATAATAATCATCAAGTGACGAGGTATAAATTTTGTTTGAAAAAATGTTGCTATCACGATCCGATTCGTTTAATGTCAATGCTATAAAACGTAATTCTTCTACTTCATTGATGTATGCTTTTATACGGACTGATAATCGAAGTACAATTAAATTGAGCTATAAAAATGTTAACAATTTTCAAGAGGTATAATAAATTTTATTAATGATAAATGCTACAATTCAGTACGATAGAATATTATTTTAGTTTTATTTTTTTTTGACGTCCAAATGTCACAACGTCAAAATGTCTTAGATCACATTATACCAGTACCTATGTCTTATACGACATCTTTAAATTTGTGCCTTATAAAAATATTGAATCACTATATAGATGTGTAACATAATAATCATGAAACACTTTTTAGTGCATTAATATATTAATTAGACTATTTTGTCTTAAATTCTAAGTAACTATAGTTACTTAAAATTTAAGACAAAATTTATAACATTTAAAACTGATGGAAATCGAAACCAACTGGATACGGGAATCAAATTATAATTTTTTTTTCAAGAGAATCGCATTAACTTAATTCTCTCCCATTGACAAAACTAATAAAAGAAAAAGATTTATCTCTCTAGACTATTTATAATATATCAAAGACTACGTCACGGATGCTTTCAGTGCGCTTATAGTTTTCGGTGCGTATCACTAAGCGGCAGTTGCGCATGATTTCATTGTAACGTGTTTAAGAAAGTCGAAAAATTGCGAACGAAACTCCGTTTGAAATTATTATGGATGTAAGGTCTTTATGTTTATTATATTAAAATCATTGTATTAAAAAAATCTGTCGATTAGATATATATATGAGAAACAATAACCGACATATTATTATAATTGGCTTTTTGTAAGTTAAAAGAAAAATTAATTTGTATTTATATTTAATTCGTATTACATACTAAAATAGCACAAAATTAATCACGATAATATTGTAAGCAGTTTATTAGCGTAAAAATAATGATTTTTTCCTTCCGTTATAAAAAACAAATTGCAATTAAAAATAACTTTCAATCTTGTAAACGAATATCTTTCATATATAAAGACGTTTTTGTACTAACTCATTCTACTAAAAATATCACTAAATTAGCGGTAGGTAAATTAAAGGTCAATAGTTTTTTTTTGGAATCAAATTGAAAATTAAAGCTTTGTTTGTGGTACTAGTGACCAACGGAATAAATTCTCTACGGTACGGTGAGCCTTGTCACGTGATATTAATCACGCAAGTTACTAATGGAAAATCACAAATGAAATACGATTACTCAAATCGGTTACTATAAAAAATTTTTCCATTTTTCGTTTCCTACTGTGAATCTGTTCCACTGGGACCATTGTTACAATCGTTCTAAATTGTCTGATGGCTCTAAGAAATTTTGAATTTGTTTCACTTCAAAAAATCGTTTGAATCATTTTTAAACAACAATAACGGTACACTTACAAACTATCAATCCGTAGAAAAATTTTTCATTTTGATCGGACTAAATATAACTTTTGTACAGCAATAGATACACACATTTTTTTAAATCAATTCAGTATTACGAATTATATAATTTAAAATTCAGAGTGATATTTAGTAAGCAGAGTTTGAATCGAAGACATGAAGATACTCAATAAGTTTCTTAAATTCTAGGACTATGTCACTCAAAGTATTGACTGGCGAGTTTAAAAAGTTATATGAAATGGATTATTTTTTATCAACCACTCTATCTATCGGTCTATACAGTGCTCAAATAGTGTATTTATTTAATTCGTACAAAATAAAACGTTAATAACATGTTATTTATGTATATAGATATCCTATAGTTTTCTTAAGTATATTTATTCACATAAACGAGAAACTTTGTGTAATAATATTTAATTAAATATGTACATATTTCAAATTAACATCATAAGAAAAAAGATGGGTAGAGATAGAGAGGGAGAAGGAATTTTTATATTGTTTTCGTTTTGTTGCAGTTTGATGTCATATTGTCAGACCTAATAATACAAAAAATATTTAACATGTATTTATTTGTTTATTTAAATATATATGTATATAGTATAATAATAATAATAATCCATATACCTAAGTATCAATATAAATTTATCAGTAGTAAAGTATTATAAAATATATAATAATATATTGTATTTGATGTATGAAAAAAAAATAATGATTTTTATGTTTCTTTATTTTTATTATGAATTAATTGTTTAATAATGATTGTTAAAATGGTTATTTTGTAAAAAAACAAATTATATAATACATTGAAAACTTCTTCGATTACTCTAAACATTTCATGGCTATGTACGTATGTAAATTATGTTTCCAAATAGCAAGTGGATCAATAATCGGTGGCCCGAAAAATACTTCCATTAAAATTGTATTTTAAAATATAAGTAATTACTGGACAAAACTACATGTAACAATAAAACACTCACTATTGCGGCAATTTAAATCGTTACAATGGATCAATTTCATAAAACTGCTTTATTTATCGATTCTAATGACTTCATAAGTTATTTTTATAGTGAGTACATCAAATAATTAATTCAAATGAATTAGTTATTATAATAATAGTTAACTAAGTATAATGAAATACAAAAAAAAAAAAAATCGTAAATAGTAGATACAATACAATAGTATGGTTTGTTGATAAATATTATTTTTTGTTTTCACCAATTTATATAGAGTTGGCCTCTTGCATGGTAATAATAATTTGAGTAAATATTTAAGTAGAATAATACATTTTTTCAATTATATTCCACGAAATCTGAGTTACATTTAGTGAGTTATTACGTAACAACCGACCAACATAACAAAAAATGAAAACATAATATTCTAAGTTTATTTTACGAGCCAGTAAAATAGTTTATAATTCCTCGGTCAGTACTGCACAAATTGTGTTGAACTACACGTTGTATTGCAAGGTCTTGATAATACGGTATAGTAATTCAAAACTATCCATCATCTTCAACACTCGTGTAAGATATTTTGTTTTTGCATTTCACTTGTTGAAATATATTATCTCGCTGCATTGAATTAATTTTAACATAGAATATCGTAGAATACGATTGTTTACGTCTTTGTGTGATGATGATTAAAAATTAAAATTTATATTAATATGCTTCAAGAGTAATGGACCGTATTTTAAAAATTTTAAATTACATTTCATTTTACTGGAAGACAAAATCAATAAATAATTTCTAGAACTAAAAATTGTAAACTACGATTGGAAACCAAATTTCTTCTCATCGTTGGGCACTTTAAGCTTTAATTTAGCGTTACAAGAAAAATAATAACTATTATCTATCTCTAATGATTGTAATCTTGAGACTAGTTTTTTTATACTTTTGTTGCGATTTTCGATCTACGTAAAAAATTATTTTCAATGCTTACAAAAAGTAAACCTAAAGAAGAAAAATATTCCTAGGACTGGAAGAAGAAATAAACATTGTATAATAAACACTTTCGTTAAGACATTATAATTTGTATACACTAGTATTACAATTATGTTCCATAAAAATATGTTGTTATAAAAAAAATGTTTGAAAACCTCTGATTTAGAATATAATCAACGTACGTATGAAATATTTACAAATATCGATTGGACCAAACAGTATAAGCGTACGGAATTAATAACTCGACAAATGTTTGTCTTTTATCGATGAACTGAATACGAATATTGTTTCTGAAAAATGCTATAAAAACAAAATTACCGAACCTTATTAAAAAACGTTAGTGATTATTATTTAACGGTTTTGTGTATTGCATTGAAGAAAGTGTACAGACAAGGTTATACCGAGATCCGTTGAACGTACACAATTTTGGACGATTGCACACTTTCTAAGTGATATCGTTAGTGAAAAAAAAATAAATAAATAAAAATAAAAATCGTCCACCACATTGCAATTTATTCGTCTCATGAAAGTATTCATTTGTTTTTGCAGTCGGTGGTGGATGTCCCTCACCCGGCGTCACCCTGAACGGTACCAGAGTGGTTCCCCGGTCGGGCATGTCACCGGATTTTTCAGCGCTGTCCGAGGTGAAATTCTCAGCACGCCTGCCATCCCCTTCTGGTAAGGATTCGGCTGCGGTAGCATCGTCGTCGTCGTCATCCGTGGCAGCTGAAGTTTCGTCCAGGATCTGCAAGATAAAATGCGTGTCTGGCCAATGGGTTGGTCCCCTGTGCCAAGGTTTGTAGCTGGATATAACACACACACACACACACCCACACACGAATCATATATATGTATACACAAAGTGTATTACACATACAGTAAACGTGCGTACGTTATAAGTACGTATACGTGTGTTATTACCGGGTGCGCATTCGTCGGTTTGTTTTAATGTCCATTAGGAGAGAGAAAAAAGAAAACTATTCCTGCGAGTCTGAGGCTAGGCAGCGATCGTATTATCGCTATAGCTTGTCGCTTTTAACACGCGCGACTTTGATGTTTTCAAAACGCAAACGCTTATAAACCGTGTCGGCAACAATACAATAGTACAGTGTTATTGTGCACAACGATCGGTGCTCATTGGCATCCCGGTCAATCTCGGTTAATTGATCCGTATTGAATTCTAAACGAGTCGGTCCCGATTTGCGCAAAGAAAAATTAATAATAAATTTTAAATAAAGACTCACCGCACCGATTAATCTGGGTAATTTGACGATTAGTCGATTGTAAATCGAATGGACTAATAGTTAATTACAGGCATGATGATGTTCCGGTTTGCCGAAATCTGCTGATACTCAGTTGCGTTTCAAAGTATAAACCACGAAGAACAGATATATATATATATATATATATATTAACCTATATATATGTACATATATATATATATAAAAAAAAATGCAAACATTTACATCTAGTAGATGAAATCAATACAAACTTCAAACGAAGAACATTACTATACTGCACTAATGTATTTAATCAGAGCAATGTCGTTTGAGTCCTCTATGAATATAATTATTTACTACAAGCAATGTTTGAATGTTTTCCTAATTATTTTTTTATGTTTGTGTCGATTGATCTGTCAACAATCAATGACGTAATATCATTATAAAATTTCATCACAACGCAAAACTCTAATCGTACATTTTGAATATAATACATAACTGTACATTCTTACAATATTTATACCCTAGTATGACTTAATATAACGTGACATAGTATGTCGACATACAAAAAACTTCAATTCGTTACAGTGTTATAATGATAGTCTTAAGGATCGGATATTTTCTCCTTCTTATGTTTGTCAATTCAAAATATAATGAACCTCGTCGTTTCGAGCTTTACTCGACGATCCGTGGTCTCTGTAAAACGCCCACTAGCTATTGCAGTATTATTACACTGTTGTTGTAATCATCTCTTACTGTCAGTGGTGCTAGTTTGAACAACGTTTTTTTAATTAATTCGCCAAAACCCGCATATTATATTGGTTTCGCACGGTCGCCATGTAATATTCATTAAATATCAGACCGCCGAGAGTGCTGTTCTCAATATTTCATGCCCTCGCGCTATAAGTACATGTTCATGTACTTTGTCTAATCAGACATATGTATATCTATATTATTCAATTGAAAAATAATTTTTCTGGGTGTCAGATATATACTACAGGTAATTATTTTTAATACTCATATTTTTAACGTTACTTTTTTCAACGAACCCTCGCGGATGAGAGTATAAACATAACAGTATTCCCAAAGGTCCAGATTATTTTATAGTAAATCGTCTAGACTATAGAGAACACTTAAAAATTCTAACCTAACTTTCTCAGGATAGTTATAAATAAGTAGAGTGGTACTATCAATATCATTTGGCCAAGTTCTTTATAATTAAATATATATATAACTTATAATATAACTTATACGTTAAAATATTTTTTTAAAAACATTTCTCATGTTAATGCAATTATGTAATTTGAAATTCTCCGAATTTATGAATACAAGTGTATAAGCATAAAACACTTCATTTAAATGATATTGAAATCATTATTATGAAACATTTAATAATTCAACTTTACGTGCACCATACAAATTATGCAATTGACTAAGTGTGTCTCGGTTCTCCGAACATTTATTATTTATTAATATTCTATAAGGTACTACTCAACTTGTCACTACCCTTCACTCATATTAAGTGTTCAATTGTCATAATGGCAAGGATTCTCTTACATGTTGCAGTAAATAATGCGGAACAAAAATACGACATAGGTCATATATACAACTTTTAGAAAAATTGCGGCATGTGTATATTTCTTTTGAAATAAAAATAATTCACAGTCAGCATAAAGTTAATTTCTAACTACTTATTCGTAAAAAAAAAGTATTTTATATTTTATATTTTTATAATATGGAACTCGTGTTATCAATCAAATATTAAAATTTAAAAAGTAAGAACACGTGAAACGTAAAATACTGATACTGAGTAGAGTATACATGAGTATAGGAGCTTGATGGGTCATTTGGGAAAATTACTCAAAAACGATGATAAATTAGGTACGATATTTAAAAAACGATTTTAAACGGAATTTATTTCATTTATGATTGATATTTAAAAATATTAGCCGAAGCAAAAATATGATAAAATATCGTTAATTATTTCTAAATATTTTTAATTAAAATTAATCTAGGGTATTTAGGTCGAAATTTAAATTTTGATATTAAACAGATATTCACGACGCTTTAGTTTTCAAGTACATTTTTAAAAATTTAGAATCAAAAAATGATATTTTATTTAAATATATTTATCTAATATTACACTAAAAATATTGATAACTACAAAAAGAGATACAATTTCAAGTTCATAGAAATGTAATTATTTGGAAAATTTTAGTGTACAATATTTATATTTATGTATATGTCGTAGGCCATATGGAAAATTAGTTTTTTTGCAAAAAGACTAGGCTCTTTGCAATGGGGTAGCCCGTTTGCGAACTACATATTATTTTTCCAAACAGCCTGCTGTTTTTCAGGCTCATTGCATACAGACTAACAGCTGTTAGGCCTTTTAAGAATTACTTACTATTTTTTCAAACAGCTGCTGTTTTTTAGACTCATTGCATACATACTAATTTCAGTTAGACCTTTTAAGAACTACAATCATTTTATGGTAAAAACCATTTTAATTATTTTATTTTAAGGGTTATTGATAATAACACAGTACAAATATGTAACATAAATGTATAACATGTAACATTATTATTTATTAATAATATAAAGGTATTTATTTATTGTTACATGTGGTTTTTTCGTGGCATTTTGAGCTACACAGTACATTGTTTTTTCCGACAAGTGCATCTATTTGTTTTGCACGATATTTTGCAAAAACATTTTTGATAACCCTGCCCTCCAAATTGAGAATGTTTTTTCGCTATTTCTCTTAATGTCATCGTTGTATTTGGTACTTCGTCAAGAAATTTTGCATCGGTTGTCTTTAATACATTTCTGCTTAGCCACGTATTTATAAATCAAAATCGTGTACCAATTTGATAAACATTATTTACCTACATTAGTAGATTAAATTAGTACATTATAACCGGCTATTTTAAGGATTTAGATACGGATTGACGACGTATACTTAATAATTGATAGAATCTACAAGATAATGACTAATCAGTAGATTAGATTATAACTTTTCACCGTATATATTTTTGTCGGCATACTATAGGTAGGTGGATACTATATGTTAGTAAACCGTGTGTATTTCAACGTATAGAAAATATAACAGTAATGAACAAATTTAACAATGAAGTTACTAATTATTATAAAAATAAAACGAAAGCAGTTAAACAACCACGGATAATAGCTACAATATTTGATGCTGTTTCTGAAATAGCAGCTTCTAAAATACCAGGAACCAAAAAAAATAGTAAGCAATATAGACTTATTAAAAAATATGATATTATATAATATTATATTATATTATATAATTATAACATATTCGTACTGTGTTATTATCAATAACCCTTAAAATTAAATAATTAAAATGGTTTTTACCATAAAATGATTGTAGTTCATAAAAGACCTAACTGAAATTAGGATGTATGCAATGAGCCTAAAAAACAGCAGGCTGTTTGAAAAATAGTAAATAATTCTTAAAAGGACTAACAGCTGTTAGTTTGTATGCAATGAGTCTGAAAAACAGCAGGCTGTTTGGAAAAATAATAAGTAGTTCGCAAACGGGCTACCCCATTGCAAAGAGCCTAGTCTTTTTGCAAAAAAACTAATTTTCCATATGGCCTACGACATATATATGAAATACTTTACTAACAAACTAAGTTTCTTTAAAGTGACAATTCTACAAATTTTAATTTTTAAATTTTATTAATAAAATGAATTAATAGTAAAATAATAGAAATTTATAATTTATCATTTTTTTTTCAAGTTTATTTTATATTACGAGTTATTCATTATTCATCAACAAAAGTATACGAAAATCGTTTTCCTCAATTATTGACAGCATGGAATTAGATGATGAATTCACGTAAAACTATTATTCTAAAAGATTTTGATTTAGTAAGATAGGTACATAAATTATTGAAATAATAAACAACATTTGAAAATGTAAGCTTGATGGTATTCAAAATTGAAATACTTTAAAATAAAACTTATTAATGCTATTAAAATACTTTTATTTATTGTATTAGTAATTATAACACAACTTTAAATAACTATTTTAAAATGCACCTTTATGAATGTTTCAATAAATATTAAAAGTATTAATATTTTTTTAAACCTAAATAGGTGATTCTTAAAGTAAAGCAAAATACACTTATATACTTAATTACTTATAGAATTATTATTAATGACAAATGCCTTCTGTAGGATTATAAAATTCAAATTTTGTTTTTATATTAAGATATTATATACAGTATATAAATAACAACAACAATAAAAAAAATATATATAAAATGTAAGAGCTTTTAAATATTTTATATCTATTTAAATCTTAATACCTTTTTGGAAGAGCAATTTTTTCAATTCATATTGAAAAAAAATATAATTTAAAAGTTTTCGAAGATTTAAGAGCCAGTTGGAGAAAATAATTTCACAAAATCGTATTCTGTATTTTATCTTAGTTTTTATTTAACATTATGTTAAAATAATTATAGTTTAATTATTAAATTATTATAAATATAATAAAAATAGGCCGAGACCGACTAAAATAGTCAAAAAGTATAATGTCAACAT